GTGAGGAAATTCAAACCCAATTCTTGGATTGGGATGATGCATCTTTATAAATAGATATATAGGTGCCATTAGGCCCAAAGGTAGGTGCAATTTATATATTAAGTTTTAATCATTGTATTTATATAAATTTTTATATTTTATATTTTATTTTTAATAATTAAAATTTTTTACATTTATAAAAAATTTATTTTTGAAAATTATAATAAATTTTACTTATTAAAAATAAAAAATAATTAATTAAAATTTTATATAAATATAATATTTAAATTTTATTTATAAATAAAATTTTCTCTTTCTATAGAAATTTTTATATATTTCAAATTTTTTGTACTTTTAACTTCTGACAACTCAATTTCAGCACTGGACATTATAAATGTTGTAAATCTTTTTCTTTTTTTTTTGAACAAATTGTTAAAGGGTGGACTCGAAATCCACCCATGAGAGAAGGAGAATGCACTTTAAGCTGGCAGAGTATCAATTGATCCGAAGGGTCAGGTGCGTAAATCAATTAATTAATACAATTAATATATTAATTAGTACTAAAATTAAAATTATCGATAACACTCTATAAATATTCTTTTCCCCAATCCCAAATTATAACAGTGAAAAAACAAAAACAGAACAAGATAACTCAGTTTCAAGTCAAGCATTTGCACCTTACCCCTGCGGAGCATTAGAAAAAAAAAACAGTACTAAACTAGTAGAGGTACATGAAATAAATGAATTTGTTCAACTTGCTTGTGATCCAGATTCCACCATTATCCTACTCCACTCCTCTTAAAAATTCATCTTTGACAAAAAGAAGATTCTCTCAAAAAAAAAAATAATAATAATAATAATAATAAAAAAATAAAAACAAAAAACAAAATTCCAAGGCTGCTATGGAGCCGGCAGTCTTCCCACTTTGCCAATCAATCTCCGGCAAACTGGACAATTCTTGTTTTCTCCATTGAAAATCCTGCAAAACACAAATCCAGTACTTCCAAGATTTATAAACACTACTACATACCATGTATCTTGAAGAAAAACACATTCCCACTTACCTCTCAGCGCACTCACAGCAAGTAGCACAATGGCCACAGGGAACGAAGAAGCAATTTCGCTGCTTGTCGTAGCAGATTACACATAACTTTCTCTCATACAACTCATCATCACTTTCACAATTTCCTGATTCTAAATCTTGATGATCATGATCTTCACGTGTTCTATGTGCCAAAGCAGCTGCTACATTATGTATACTGCGCAACGGACTAGTCTCTGTAGGCCTCCTCTCATCCTCGTTGTTGTCATCAATGTCAATTTCCAAAACATACTTTAAAATCATCAATATTGCTATCAGGATCAATACTGCAATAATAATCAAGTAATTAATTATGTTACCAGATAGATATATAAGATCTGTGGGCTGTGTAACTGTGCAAACTAGTTTCCAGTGATTTCTGCAGATTTTGGTTTGAGATTTTAGATAGTATACCCAAGACTGCAATGTAAGCAACAAGATGAGCAATGAAATGAAGCCAGATATCCCATTGAACAGCATCCTTCTGTGTAAATCAAGAAACAAAAAAACCCAATATCATCTTCTGAGCAGTAACTTTAAGCTGAGGAAATTTAATGTTTGTTCATTGGATGACTCACCTCGGTTGTGGTGTTTAAATTCATAGATGGAGAGTTGTGAAGGTGAAGCATTAGTTGATTCATTCCGCAGAATGGAGAACACATGTTTTTGGATATATCTATCTATTTCTGTACACATTAACAATATCAACAGTAAGAGTAATTAAACAAGAGGCTTCACAAAAAATGCTGCAAGCCCGAATGGATTCACTTGAATCTCATGGCAGAAAGAGAAAATATGTGGCGGAAATGGTTTGACAGAGAAACAACGTATACAGTTTTTTATGTATTGTATAGACAGAACTACAAGTCCTACAAAAGTAGAGAAAAGTTTTGGGGACAAGCTCCTCCTGCAGTTTGATAGAAAGTTTTGACACACACCAAAACTACAAGAATGGTGGTTGGTTCTTTCTCTTTGGGGTTGATGAACTATCACCTCTGAAGGTCCAGCGGCTAAACTGAATCACAAAAGTTCATCTAATTTATAACTTTGAAGGGTAGGTGCTTTTAGGCACTCAAGTTTGCAGATGTCCAACCTAAATCGGACTGGATTTTGTGATGGCCAATGTGGGATGGGAGAGATGAGGGTGCAGTGTTATTATTTTTTTCATTATAATCTGACATTGGGGTCAATGTTATTAAATCTTGTTTTCATTATTATGAAAAGTTAGTCTTTCTACTTGATGTTGTATTAGGAAAAGTTAATTGGAAGGGATGTGAATCATGTGAGTGTTTAAATGATAAAATATTTTTATTTCGTTATATTATTAAAAAAATTTAATATTATCTAACTTGAGATCTTATTTAAGAAGAATTAAATTCCTTTCACTTAAATCATTTTTTTTGCTTTTACATTGAATGTATTAACACTAAGATTACAATAAAATATAATGTTTGAATCCTTTTATTGTCATTTAAATACAAATAAGCTTATTAAGCAGGGCCGAGCAGAAGAGAAACTCTTAGTGGGCCTGTTCCCTAATAAGTAATAACTGAACAGGGTGCCCAGCCCACTGTTTCCAATTTTCAGCTTCTACCCCCAGCCCCAGGACAGGTGTGGCAGCGCACACCCGATAATATTAAGCCCACACAACATTTTTTTTTTTAACTGAAGCCCATAAAAACAAAATTCTATTCATCCTGGAGCTGTTACTAGTACTACTTTGATCCGTAAAAATGGTTTGCCTCTTGAACAAATTTCACTACTTGGAAATGAACCACAATTCCAAAGTCAAAAAAGGCAGAATCCAGCCTCGAAATCATATTGGTATGGTGGGTGCCCATCGGCATTCGGCTCAGCTTGGGAGACTGCTTTGACCTCAACAAACCCAGGTAACCAAAACCTTCACTTTTTAACTTTTTATTTTTGTTCAGTTGACCGAAGACCCCTATTTTAACACATTTCACAGCTTTATTTCAAAATTCCCAATTGCTGTTCTATATCTTTAATTGCACTTAAATGAAAAATCTGCATGAAAAGCCTATCAGGGTTATTGACAGCTCAAACCCCCCAAAATAGGTCCAAAATTGGATTCTCTTTCTGTACTGAGTGGACCCTGAAAAAAAGAGAGAAAATTTTTAGTTCTATAGAGAGTCAAGACAGAAGGATACTAGAGCACAGAGGAGAAGAAAATGGCTAGGACCAAGTTGGTTCTCAAGAAAATTGAGAACAGAGCATATAGGCACATAACCTTTGCCAAAAGAAAAACTGGGCTTGTCAAGAAAGCTTATGAACTTTCAACCCTCTGTGATGTGGAGGTTGCTCTAATCATTTTTTCCCCAGCTGGAAAACTCATTCTTTTTGAGGGGAAGAAAAGGTTTACTTAATTTGTGTTGATTTTGGTGCAGTTGTTGCTAACTTTTGTTGAAATTTAGGGATTCAATAGTTTGTTGCTAATGGGATATTTGGTACTTTGTGTGTATTCTCTAGGCTAGAAGAAATTGTGTCACATTATTTGGACAGCCCTGCTAGGAAGCGTGGATGGTATGCGAATTTTGATGTGATAGATTTTGCTAATTGGAATTTGGCTATAAACATAATAATTTCAAAATGAAATTGAAAATTGAAGTGGAAGCACAATGTTATGATCCAGGATGTGTTTTTCTTTTTTGTGTACATATACATGGTGTTAAGATTGTGCTTTATATGTAAGAAAAACTTGTAAAAGGAAGTTTTAACTGAGAAAGATCAAATGAGTATGGAAGAATCATAAAATTTTCGTGCTGATACAATTCTCTTTTTATTTTTGACATACCAACCTGTAATTTATTACCTGTCATCATGTTTCAAAGGCTGCCAAATCAAGAGGTAAGTCTTAATTTAAGCAATTTTGTTGCTACTGGTTGATTATATGTCATCATTAGACTAATGTGACAAATGTATGTGATTACTCACAGTCAATAAGCCGAATCATTTCTCAAATGAGCCTGGAAGATGGTCTATACCATCACAACTTAACTTGCCCTGGGTATGATCTGCTGTCTCATTAGAGTACTCCTTTAAATTATCTTAATTTTTGGTTAGGTGACTGATTTGGCATTGTAATTTTGCTTTTCCTTTCTGATTATGGCCTGCAATTGTAGAACCAGTGGAAGTTTTGTGAGCATTATTGATTCTCAATTGGAGGTATATAAGGCTGATATTAATATAAACTTAGCTAGAGATTTTCAGTTAGCCATTTCATTATAGTTTCATAGGAAAAATTGATAAATTTCTTGAATGCAGGATGTCCAGAGACAAATCCTTGTTGTCACTTCCCAGCTGCAAGACGTGGAGAATGAACTACAGTACAAACTAATATATACTTCCATATTAGACTATAAATTGTCCTTATATTAAAACTTTAAACAACGTGTCAAAATGTATACTTTCTTTTGAAGGTATTTTGTGAAAAGTCCTGCCTGCATCAAATCACCGAGCGACTTGGAATACCATGAGAAGATCCTGGAGAACACATTGCAACTTGTCCGCATGCGCAAGGCAAGATGTATACATCATTAATCTTCGGCAATTTGTCAAGCTTTCTTCTATTCTTATGGTCACTTTTTATTTTACAGGAAGCTTTAGAAGCACAAAAGAGTGTCCCACCAACTCTGGAGGTATGTGCTGCTATTATACCCCATCTGATTGATAAGGGAAATTGCATTGGAAAATATAATCTGAACTGATCTATTTTAGGTTTAACTAAGACCTGATAAGGGAAATTGCATTAGAATATGGAAGGTGAAACAAAAAATAATTAACAGATCCTTGATAAGGGAACTTTAATTTCCCTGTTATGTTCTTGGCAAGCAAATACATGTATCCCTTTACCCCAAAAAGGAATGTAGAATTTTTTCTATGGAAAGTATATGGCATTGCATTGTTGATCAAGATATAGTTTCCATAAAAGATAATTAAACAAGTCATGTGCATGGTACATTTTACACTTAGCAAGTGTATGCCCAGCTAATAATTTGCCTTGCTATCACTGACATATCAGACACCATTTTATCCACAAGCTTCAAGCTCCCATGGTTCCTCATTTTACTCTCGGAGTTACAACTTGATGGATTGGCCTTCACAGAGAAATTTCCAATTTCCAGGAAATTTCACTCAACCAAATGGCTTTCAGCCTCAAAGGTTTCTAACTCTACCCCTGCTTTTTTTTTTTTTTAATTTTTTCTCTTTTTTGTATGTGCTAATTATATTGCCTGTTCTCAAAGTTTGGCTTCTTCCATAGTTATATACATAGAGGTACATGGTCTCTTCTTTGTACTGTAGGAATGGACTGGATACTTTGGCTGGACTGCCCCCATCCCCAATAACATATCTTCATGGGCATGGAGACCTGGCTGGGAATGAAATGAGCCATCATCCTGATCAGGTTGCTAACAATGTGCTCAATCCAGGGTCTGGAATTGTCAATTTCTCTTCAACAATGAACATCGTGAAACAGGTATATAAATCAAACCCTCTTCTCTCTTCCTGTGGAAGGAAAATGTTTGTCAAGTAATTGGATAGAAGTCACAAATATAGGAATGAGAAAAATCCTCATAATTCAGGATGAGATTGAAAGATATATCATGGTTTACGTCTAGACTTTAGAAAAAGGCAAATGCTATAACATGAATGTTGATATTTTGCAATATTGTCCTTGCTATTATACTGTTCTTTTTTATCAGCGTCCTTGCTATCACATTATGTGGTTCTGATGCTTCTGCAGGTAACCGCAAGTACCAGTACTGCACAGCAGAGTATGGGTCGCAATGAAAATTACTCAGACCTGGACCCTGCCTTCTGGTTTCCCCATTGATACAGGGGACAAGGTGAATCTTATCTTGAATCCAACCTAAATAAGTTTTACCTTTAATGTCTCATTAGAAACTTCAGTGCAATGAATAACTGATGCATTTTCAGTGGATTTTGGCAATAGTAATGACTTAGTGTTGCAGTTACGATTTTGCTTCTTTTCATGGTCAAACTTGAGATGGTAGAATGTTTACATTTTTTCATGGTATGATGAAGAATCTAGTTTCTTGATGGGGATTATACTTACATGAAGATATTAAAAGGTTAGCTTTAACGTTTGAATCACTTTGAACAACATTAATGAGCTGACTAAAGCGATATATATACTTTACTGTCCCAAATCACCTTTAAGCCACATTTATTAGGCTGCCTGCCATATATGCATGCATGTGGAGTGGTTGGTTGGCATTGTGCTGTAGTCATTAAAGTTACAAAGGTAGATTTATCAAGTCAATTCATTACTTTCTAGTGCACTTTTATTGATGGTTACAAGCAAATAATCCGCAAAGGAAAAATATAATTGAGGATTTGCAAGATATTACACAAACTTTATGTGGCAGATCATGTCTGCTACATAAAGTTTGTGTAATATCTTGCAAATCCTCAATTATATTTTTCCTTTGCGGATTATTTGCTTGTAACCATCAATAAAAGTGCACTAGAAAGT